GTCAAGTCTTCCTGATGAATCAACGAATACATATATCGCTTCCAACTGTAAGTAATAATTTTTGTTTTTATTAAACATTATTTATCATAAAAAAAATCGTATAAGATCCACTATTACATTTATATTTTTTTCACTGGCATACTGCTCCATCTGAAGTAAAGCTTTCGTATAATCTGTATAATTCTGATCAGGTGTTTTAATGATTCTTGTACCCACGGATTTTAACTTCTCAAGAATTTCAGGAGAACAACTATCCATGTCACCAGTAATTAAATTGGGCAAATACTGAGAATGTTTTCCATCTAGAAGATCTATATCTTGTGCTTCTAAGTATTGTAACCACCTATGAGTTCCTCCATCAACAGTGATCTTAATCTGAGCTGAATTATTTAAGACATCGCTTATGATATAATATAAACAATACAAATAGTAAACAGAAATATTAAAATAATTAAAAGAAATAAGTATATAATTCAACTATGCTATAATTTCTATTATCATACATAGAATACCTGTCTTTATATTTGAGTTTATACATATAATATACTAGTTGAAAATGTTACTCATAATTTAAAAAGCCACAAACATGAAATACTTTTCAAATGTTATGTAAAGATCAACACTTACCATTCTCCCAGATTCGGAGTAAAATATCACTGTTCCAACGAAGTGGGCGATTCAATATAACTATAGCATATTTATACTGCGAACAACTTTGAAATATCTGAAGAGGGTCCCAATTTGATATGCTCAAATTTGTATTACTTTGCATGATTAAACTTAATTTATATTTCCTAAAAACTGAAAAAATGTTCATGAAGTTGGGTTAGAAGATCATAAACTATTCAGTTTATATTCCAAAATATTTGATTACTATTTTTAAGTGCTTAAATGACTAAAATCTTAGGCAAAAAATATATAGTAAAATTAACTATACAACTTGTACTACATATTTTTTCGTGAAGGCTTATGTGATAATTACCGAACTCTGGTTGTGACGAAGTACAATTTCAAACTACATATCTACATACTTGCTGTAAAATTAAGCATTTCCTAATAAATCAAGGGTCAACAGTGTTTATCTTAAAATTATCACTTACATATAGTAAAAAAAATACGGAATATTTCATGTATACTAGCATGTTCATTTTTCGAGCGCCGCTCAAGGCCATAGCCTGAGCGAGCGTAGCCGCGTAGCCCTATAATCATACGATGCATTGTTTGTTAGTGTGAGAGCAAAGTGCAAAGTAGTGCAAATTAATATGGTGGATACCCTGCCCGTTTGGATTCGCTAGCTCACTGCTCACTGGATTTGCACTCTGATCTGCGCCACCCGGTTATCCATAACCCGGTTCCTATCGTACATACATATATCCTAAGTCCGAAAATCAATAATATAGTATACTAAATAGATATTTGATTTTTTCTAACAATTTCAAACTCGTGAATTACCGGCAATGTTAAACGTTACATTAAAATTTTAGACTGTGGTTTCAGATTTAGATTTTTTGAAATGTCTTCTAAAATCTGTATATGGAAGAAAGTACCTGGAATTGTTAGTCGTTTTAATGATATAATTTATTCATATCCAAAATCACTACCATGTCAAGACATTCTCATATATTTTGGAGGCGATGTGCAGGTGTGCGTGAAACGATTTAATGATATTTACTAAAATAAAGTTATTTTCTTATTAAGGTGTACAATGCAATAGTTAAATATAATATTATACATCCTTTAAAGGATATTCAAGAATGTATGGAACGGCATCCTGACAGTAAGAAATATGCAGAGTGGAGTCTAGAAAATACTGCTCGTATACTTTCAACAAATTTTCCAAATAAACATATAATTGTCATTCGTCCAACAAGGTAAAACTTACAATGAAACAATAATATGTAACATTATTTGTTATCATGTTGAAATTTGTTCTAGAATACACAATAAAGTATATGGCAGCTTTAGTTGTTTTGATAATTTTGTATCAACAAATGAATATGGTGATCCAACGTTTTCTCCATCTCATAATGCTTTAAAACATTTGCAGGAATTGATAAAATCCTCTTCACAGAATTTGAAATTATATAAGGATGAGGTATATTTAAGTTAAAATTCAACAATAATATAAGTCACAATATAAAATTCATTCTAGTCTATTTGTATTGCTAGAATCCTACTGATCTTATTAATAACAAAACAAGATTAACACTAATGGGCTTCAGCAAAGGCTGTGTTGTATTGAATCAATTTCTTCATGAATTTCATAACCATCTCAGTAATCCAGATTCTGACCTAGAAATTACAAACTTTGTAAAACTAATTGAGAGCATGTGGTGGTTGGATAGTGGACATGGACGTTCCAAAGATACATGGATTACGAATAAACCTATATTAGAATCGTTTGTAAAATTAAGTAATATATTCAGTAAAATTATGAGAAAACTTTCTGTACTTGTTTCAGTTATGCTTAACACTTGTAATGTTACAGAAATAGAAGTTCATGTACATGTCACACCATATCAAATATGTGACCTTCGGCGTCCATGGATTCGTGAAGAAGAAAATCAATTTTGTTGTTTGTTACGAAGTATGGAAGTTCCTGTGAAACGAATTTTACACTTTGCAGATAAACCAAGAAATTTGACATTACATTTTAATCTTCTTACTGCTATCAGAAATTATATTCAATAATATCTCATTACTTAAATTATTTAAATACATTTTCATATATATATATACAATAATATCCTGCTTAGTTAGCCAATGTTCTTGCTCTAGTTAGCCAATATTATATTATTGTTGTACAGGGAACCAAGCTGTGAGTATAAGGGATGTTATTGAAAAGACTGAGTTAGCTCTGTTATATCATGTAATTTACTATTTGTGTGACAAATTATTTAAATGCTTACAAAAAAATATTGATTCTACGATAGATTTAACAATGTATTTTTATTGTTATTAACAATGACACCAACAAAAGAAATGTTAATATATTAACTATAAAGACTATTCTTTGTCATTGTAAAGAAATGGCAAAATGCATGACTAATAGCAAAATGATAACTCCATTAACAAGCTAACAGTAGTAGGTAATCCTATTAATAGTTAGAATTGGTTGCAGTCATGCGTCATTTATCCAGGTTATTTTTCCAAATCTGTGTTCATTTTAAATTCATTGGGTAATGATATAGTATTATATAAATATATTTTCTTAAGAAAATTTAGTACGTAATGTATAAAAGTCATTTGTAAATACTTATTAATGCATTTATGATATGTTAATTAAAATTTTCTTATATTTTTAAATAAGTAGAACTGAAAAAGCATTTGGACTAGTGTTACACAATGAAAAATTTTACGTACATTAATATGTAGCAGCATAGTTGATAGAAGATTGATATACATATCTATGTCAAATAAATATATTTGCATCCGTGGTGTATTAACATTTATTTTGACATTTCGACTTATGATAATCTATGTTCTCAGAGCCTGAAAAATAAATTATTCATAATTAGTAAGAATCATAACAAACAAAATTTTTTTTATCAGAATAGCACCAACTATCGTTGCCTGAATGTGATAATTTAACTTCTGCCCATTCATCAGATCCATCGCAACAGTCACAAACTCCATCGTTAACTTTATAAGATGATATCTTTACTGAAATTTGATTGATATCAGTTATCACTGCAAGCAAAGTTAATGTATAATAAAAAAATAAGGAATTAAATACATGTAACTTGTGAAGATGACTTCTGACAGTAAAAGACACCATTGTTACAAGCATTAGTACTAGGTTCATCACTACCATCTTCTGGACAATCACAATAATCGTCATTAATTTTCACAAAATCTATCTCTGTTTTTGAAATAAAACAGACAAATTTTTCTTCTGAATTTGGTAGATATTTTAATTGGTCTTTGTCACGTGTTCCACGTAATGTATCTACTTTATCCAGAATTTTATTATTAATATTATATTTAGATGTTCGCACCGATTCGCTAGTTAATTTTTCTACGACCGCTTGATTAAGTTGTTTAAAATAAAATAATTGATGAACAACAAAAATAATAGCAACTACAAATACACAGATTAAGGTGTATTTAAATTTTTTCCGAAGAAACCGGCGTTTCCAAGACACTTCTGTTTTCATATTTGCCAGTTTTGTAACTGCGTGTATATACTACTATTATCTAGCAGTTCGAAACTGCTTTGTTTGTCATGTAAAATTTTCTTTCAATACTCGTTGATAGTTTCTTTCTTCTATTCCAACCATTTATTATCGATTTCTCAAAATCATTTAACCACGTAAATTATATATTTCCTTATCTCACTAAAGATTTTTGTACTACGTTTTAATTTTAAGAATTATGCCTGGATTAAGCATGTATGAAAATACATTGTATGTACAATACAATGCCTCTGTATTGTATAGACTTGTAAACTGTTACACGGAATGAAGTTGTCTGCAATTCAGCGAAATCACAATTATCGAGATCGCAATTTAAGATTTAAATTTAACAACGAATATTATGAAAATAATTATGATTTGTAATTTTACGGAGCTTTTACATTTATTCATAAATTTAGAGTAAACAAGTGAAATGAAACCTTTCAAAAAGTACACATTCATCTTAGGACTGTGGTGAAAGAAATAAAATTGTGTTTTCTTTATTTTTAGTATATTGATTAAAATATTAATGATCTTGTGGGTCACTTTATAAGCATTGCAACGAAATCTTATTAATGCAGAGAACTGTATCATTTCACACAGAAAGATCGGGCCCAAAAGTA